TGCTATTCTGTTTCTGTTCTTTGAACTCGCTTCCGCGTATTTTCTCCCGAGTGGATATTCAAACTCCCAATTTCCCATCTTGCCATTACTTTTCATAAGACATAAGTTCGCCATAAAACATCACCAAAAAACTCCATCTTTATGACCTTGTCCACTTTGTGTTTCGTTTTCAACGCAAGGACCATTTACGATATTCTACGTAATTGTTTGAAAATCACTTTCCTACACTCTGTGTACTATTACTTTTTGCTTTCCACTGTTCATGTTTCATATTGTTGTACATTTTGATCATGCGCACTAGCATGCTTCGCGGGCTTCGCGAAATATACCGTTATTATTATTATTATTATTATTATATGGCTAACGAGCGTTCGTACGAGAGCAGAATGAGACAATTTACGAAACGGGAGACAGTTGTACTGTGATAACGTGAAGGGTAAAAAGGAGATGCGAAAGCGTGAGCAAGCGCACGGAAAGTGAAAGCAAACACGTACTGACCGAAGAGGTGGCCTTGTTGTGGTAAAACAATGAGATACAAAAATGGAAGTGTACATGTAGAATGGGAGTTAGTTCGTGTAACTATAAAGTTCACCCCCTCACCCTAGAAGGCTAGAGAGAGCCTTCGATAAGGGTGCATGATTGGCTTGCTAGTCCGAATAATTGGATCGCTTGTTGCATTGTTACGGAAATATTGGGTAACAACTTTCAAAATAGTTGTAGTGGATGTGGCAGTGGATGCTGGTCTAAAATAGAAATGTGCGGAAATGAAAATGCCATGGAAAAGCGTCTGCAGGCTCGTCGTCGTTTTGTTACTTGCCCCGTTTTTTTCTTTAGAGAAAAGAATAGGAGGACTGTCGAAGCTGAGCCAGTAAAAAATGACCGGGGAAGTTAGAAAAAGGTGTTCTATACCCTCAGTATGCTGGAGTGGTGGTAGCGGTGGAAAAAGTGCCAATCTTCTTTCTCGCTGCGTTCTCTTGGCCGAGGTTTTTCTCCCGAGTTGAGGTCAGAACCTGAATGAGAACTGAAGAAGGAAGGTCGAAGCAGCCCTTGTTGGAGCTGATCGATGAGGCAAAGACACAATGAAAAGGGAGAGGTTTTCGATTTTTGTGGTTTTTATATATGTTTATGCATACAGAAAAATGTGAACCACGATGAGAAAAAATAAAAAAGAACAAAATGACTTTTGTTCTTTTGCATGCATGGATGAATAAATAGGTGAAAGAAAAAGTATATATATCGCAGTCTACATGTGTCTGTACGCTTATAAGTGTAAGAACGTCCTACAAGGCAAACTTACAGGTGGCTTAAGGGCTCTCCCGAGACTAATGATCCGATGCAGAGGGGAGGGACCAGGTGCCTGCTCCAAGGGTGTCGCGGGATTTAACGGGATTGAGCGAGCAGGACTTGTTGGGACGGGAGTTGCGGGTGGCGCAAATGGTGGAGGACCAAACGCGTTGGTGCTGGTTTTCTCCAAGTGCGCATATTCGAGTCGATCAATACTGACGGTCTCACGTTTACCGTTGCGCTCCATGATGTGGGTTTTGTCTGAGCGTCGCATTACCTTATGTGGGCCCTTGTATTGAGGTTGCAGTGGTGCGCGAACCTCTTCCCTGAGGAAAACGTGCGAGATTTCGGCTAATCGAGGGGGAGGTACGTCAGGGGTGTTTTTTGACGTTGTGGTTGAATACGCAACTGTTGCAATGTATTAACCGAGCCCTATGGTCACAATAGTTGAAGTTAGTCGTTGGGGTCGGTGCCACCATTTCTCCCGGAAGATGCAAGATGCGACCGAAAGTCAACTCTGCCGGTGTGGACTGCAGATCAGCTTTGAAGGCTGACCTGCAACCTAAGAGGACTAAGGGTAGAGAATATTTCCAGTCTGGGTTTGCCTGTGCTGCCACAGCACTTATCAGTTATCGATCAAAACGCTCGACCATACCGTGGGCTGCCGGGTGGTAAGCGGTGTTTCGGACGCGGCGAATGCCTAGATGCTTAAGTAGTAGTGCGAAAGCACCCTCGAAGTGAGAACCTCAATCGGTTGTAACTGCTGCAGTGTAAAGACCGAAACGCGATTGTTCTGGTCCGAGCGAAACGAAAAACATATAGTCTGTATGCGTTCAATCAAATGTTCCTTCGCTCGTTCTGGATAGCGATAAACAAATCTCAGAGCAACGCGTAGCCCAAATTATCGAGAACCAAGTCCATCCAAAAATAATCTACTGTACTATTTTCGCATTAGTCAAAAATACATAAGGCAGTCATACCTCTGATATTGAGCCTGATTCACTATCCAGCCAAAATGTTACAAATATTCCCAGAAAATATCTGCGGTAATGAAAAGTAAACGAGAAAATGAGCGATTTGAGCTACCTTTCAGATAATTCTGTACCAATAGGAAAATTCTGCACACTTCAACAGATCAAGTGAAATAATCTTGAGCGTTACAGCCAAAAGGGGTTCAATATAACCGAAAGCAACGTTTAGTCCAACAACGAGCGTCCAATTGAAACTTTGGTCGCAATAAAACAAGAAAAAGCACTGCATCTCATTTACATGTAAGAACGAAGCACTTGAAGTGTGTGTCCAATAGATACGCTTTTTCCGTAGAAAAGGTGAAATAGAAGGTTCAGAAGAGGAAACTCACCGACATGAAAACCACTGTCGGAAAGAATGTACGATAGAATGGCGAGGAAAGATAAGGAAGTGCCAGGTGATTGAGAGGAATTTTCAGTCGTTTTGACTGTTACACTCAGTCTACAAAGCTATCGACGGCACGGGGAATCGCTCCGGCACACTCTGCTGCCCATTTGTAGTCTGCTGTCACTATGGTTCCTAAATCTTCAGCTTTCTGGGTCGTTCCCAGTGAAGGACCGTAATGACTACTCCCCACCATCAGCCCCTCGTCTCCAGTGGTCAAGACATGACTCTTTCCTATGTTGAGAGGCAGATCCCATGTACTTGACCACTTGAGCACTTCTCCTATGTCCCTCCCTAATTACTATCTCCCATCTGATCCTACCACATTGAAGTCATCCGCGAATATATATCTAGGCGTGCCTAGGCGTTCAGGCAGATCATTGATGTAGAGCAAGAATAAGAGCGGACCTAGAACTGATACATGAGGAACCCTACTAATAATATTTTCCATTGGCGAGTTCGCTTCTCCGACCCGAACCACGAAGGTCCTATCGGCCAGGAAAGCTGTTAGACATTTGTGGATGTTACACTCATCACTAAAGCATATATCTTGACCAAAAGTAAGCGATGACATACTGAGTCAAATGCTTTGCTAAAGTCCAGATAGCACACTTCTACTTATTTACCCTCGTTTAATCTCGCTGTGACTTCATCTAAAATATGCAGGAGACTGCTGAGACAGGATTTTCCCTTCAGAAACCTACGCTGTGCTGCAATCAGGTCAGGTCAGTCCAGTTCAGTTCAGTTCAGTTTGCAC